CTGCCTCCCAAGTGCTGGGATTAAAGGCGTGCACCACCACGCCCAGCTAGGAATTAAGATTTTTATCCTGAACACAGTGAGATCAGGTAAGGTACTTTTTAAAAAAAATTTTTAAAAACAGGGTCTCACTATGTAGTCCTGGCTGGCTTGGATCTCACTGTGTAGACCAGGCTGGCCTCAAATTTAAAGAGCTCCACCTGTCTCTGCCTTCTGAGTACTGGGATTAAAGGCATGTGCCACCAAGCATGCCCAGTCAATTTTTATTGTACAATTTCTATTTGTGGTGGAGGGGCACATGTGCTACAGTAAACATGTGGAAGTCAGAGGACTATCTGGAGTCTATTTTCTCCTTCCACCATGTGAGGCCTGGGGATTGAACTCAGGTCATCAGCCTTGGTGGCAAGTGCCTTTACCAGCTGAGCCATCTCACTGGCCCAAGATATTTTTGGTAGGAAAGGATCTCGTTCAAATAATTATAGAAGGCTCCTGGATTATTAATAGCTTGACTTGTTAGTTTTCAACTTTATGAGGGCATGAAGGCCATATACATTCGGTAGAAACTTTCAAATTTGTTTTCAAACAAACTACAGTAATATACTGTATATCGTATAGTAATATATGATCCTGTATTGCAATGCTCAAGAGTGGCAGTGAGTTCCAGTGCCTACTCAGCCACATTGATCACAAGGGTACCAACTGATAATACTCTAGGGTATACTGTGATGTTTAGTAGCTTAAGCATATAAATGCATTTTTGACTTATGATATTTTTAACTTATGGTGGGTCTATTGGGAAATAACCCAATAGGTCATTTAGAAAGATCACTTGGTGACAGTGAGGAATCAGTTGTTCTAGCGGTATGGGTTTTACCCAGATGCAAGAAAGTTACTCAGATGAGGAAACTCTGAAGCAAAGCAACATCAATGATAATGTAATAGAGGCCATGTTTAACAGATACTTAAGTTTGATCAATGGAACTTGATTGAGTAGATTTGGAAAAGTTTAGTGTGGTTCTTAGATTTGGAAATGGCTTAATTGGATTAACGAGAGATTTAGTGAGGTGGGAAGTTTTGGATGAAAATAGTTATGTTAGTGAGTTCCATCATGGGCATTTTATTTACAACTGTACCCATAAGAATGGCTTCTGAAATGGATGCAGAGAAGCAATGGCCGAAGAAGAAATTCTCTCTTTTTCATGAAAGGAGCGAGAGGTTGACAGACTTGGGCTGATCTGGTGTTTCTGTGCATGCCATCAAGGACTCAGGCTCTTTTAATTTTTCTGCCCTATCAAAATAAAGGCTATTTCATGAGCCTATGTTGTAGCCATCACATCTCTGTGACTGGCAGCAGACAGGAGAAAGGTGAGAAAGGCAGGAAAGCATTACTCCTTCACGCAGCTTTTCTGAAGCGTGCATGACAGTAGGTCTTGATTCACATGAGCACTTCCAGTACAAAACGATCTGGGCTTATTGTAACCCCAAATAAAATTGGAATTCTTTTACCCACAAGCGAGATAGAAATCAGAAGACCTTAGTGCAAAGATGGTGAGAATTTGTAGCTCTTTGGATAAAATCTAGTCATCCCAGGACTTAATGAAAGAAGATAAAACTGTTCAGAAGTTATAGTGAAAAAGAGCCAAGTATTCCTAACCTGTTCTTAAATAAATCTTTTATTGAAGTACAAAGCATGCAATTATAGATAATTGTATACCTTGATCAATTTCACAAGTAATCACACTTCGGTCTACCCAGCAGTAGCCAAAAAACATTGCCTTGCTAACATGCTTTTAAGCTCTATTCTTTTCTGTTTCAGGAGGAAGAAGGACATGCTTTCTTCAGATGCGCTATTACCTTTCTCTCTTATACTGCCACCTCTATAGCTATAATTTAAATGATGCGCAAGGATTATGTGATTACCTAGTAAGGGAAATACTGACATGTTCCCAGTTACCGATAAAAGAAAGTAAAGATCATTCAGGTATGGTTTATAATTCAGTATATTTTATTTGTTTATTCATTTATTTTATTTTATTTTATTTGAGACAGAGTCTTACTGTGTAGTTCTTGCTTTCTTGGTATTCATTATGTAGGCAGCCCCAGGCTGACCTCAGACACATGGCAGTCCTCCTGCCTCAGCCTCCTGAGTGCTGGGATTGTGGCTATGTGCCATCACCCTAGCTTAATATTTTTAATTTGTATTTATGGGTTTAGACAAATTGCTTTCATATGTAGTTGTCCTGCCTCTATAGCGACTAAGTTATGCAGTGTTGGATTTTGGACTGTCAGCTTCTCAATGCTTATAACATAACAATTTTTTGAGATACTTCCAAGAAACTTATTAGAGTTACTTTTCTCAAGGAGTCAAAGAAGGAAGTATGTCACGTTTCTTATTTTCATTGTCTTTATTCTTTGTTTTTTGAGTTTTTTGTGTATTTGGGATGTTAACCCTCTGTCAGATGACTAGGTAGCAAAGGTTCTTTCCTACTCTGGGCTTCCTCTTCACTTGATTGCGTGTTACCTTTACTTTTTTAGGATTTTTTGTTGTTGTTGTTTGTTTGTTTTTTTTGTCTTTGAGACAGGGTCTCCCTGTAGCCCTAGCTGTCCTGGAACTTGCTATGTAGATCAGGCTGGCCTTGAACTTATAGAGATCCGCCTACCTCTGCCTCCCAAGTGCTGGGACACAGGCGTGTGCCACCATGCCCGGCTTTTTTAGGTTTTAAAAAAATTTTTTTTTATTGAATTTTTGTGTATTTCATACAGAACATCTCAATCAGTCTTAATCATCTTTATACCCCCTTCCCCGCTCACACCATCCCATAGCCCCCTCCCCCCCGGAATTCATACATTCTTTTATTTGTGTTAAGACCTATTGTGTCAAGTTAGTGTCCATCTAGAGTCCTTCACTTTAGGAAGATCAGCTCTTCCTCACCTAGCAGTAATCAGTTGCCAATATTTCTTCAGCTAAGATTAGGGTCTGCTGTCCATTTCCCAGTTCTATGCTGGGTTTTTGTCTGCTTGAGTTTGCATGGGTCTTGTACATGCTGAACCATTACTATAGGTTCATATGAGCAGGATCCCAGGAACTTGTAGAACCCTATTTCCATATGATCATGTGCTTCCTCCCTGGCTCTTAAAATCTTTCCGCCTCCACTTTCACAATGGTCTCTGAGCCCTCAGTGAGTGAAGTTTGGTGCATGCCTTTAATCCCAGCACTCGGGAGGCAGAGGCAGGTGGATCTCTGTGAGTTCAAGGCCAGCCTGGTCTACATAGTGAGTTCTAGGACAGCTGGAGCTACAGGGAGACCCTGCCTCAAAAAGACCCCCCCCCAAAAAAAAGGAACCCTGTCTAAGGACCAGCATTTTGTAGACTTTTAATCTCTATGCTTTGGCCATTTGTGACCTTTTGTGTTCTGGTCCTCTGTTGCATGAGGGAGTTTCATTAATGAGAATTGAGAAATCATTAGTGTCCTCTTTACCCCTTGTTCTGTGCTCCCTGAGCCTTAGGTGTAGAGGTTGCATTGTAGATGTGCCACTTGGGCAATTCACAGATGTCTATGTGTGACCAGTTATGGTACTCTGTCTGGTGCAAGAGAAGCTTCTTTGATGAGTGGTGACTGGCATATTTTTCTGTAAATATAAAGATACATATTTTGCACATAGTAAGAAATTATAATAGTCTAGGGATGTGACTGTCTTAGGGTTTTCTCTAAGATCTATAACCTCTCCAGTCATGTGTATGTGGCTTTGTTTACAGTACCACACATTAGTTTCCTCCCATTGACTGAGCTTTTAGTCCAATTAGGTAGCTGCTTGCCCTCAAGATAAAAGTGCCACTCTACACCAATGTCATGCTGTGCCAGTCATTGATGTGGTTATTTGGTCTTAAAGCTGGTGTTGGGGGACTGGAAAGATGGCTCAGCAGTTAAGAACACTGGTCGTTCTTGCAGAAGACACGCAGCACCCACATGGCAGCTAACAGCTGTCCGTAACTCCAGTCCCAAGGGACCCGACAGCCTCTTCTGACCTCCGCGGGCATTGCATGACATGGGTACACTTACCTACATGCAGGCAATATATGCATACACATTAAAAAAAAAAAAAGCTGGTGTTGGGCCATCAATTGATGGTCTCCCTTAGCACCTTGAATAGCGCTCTCCAAAGCTATGGGAGCTAGCCTTCAGGGGAGGTGGCTTCCAGGTCAGTTTCAGCTCCATTGCTCCACATCCTGTGTCCAGAGTATGTTCTCTATAGCAGTAGGGTCTTAACCTTCCAGTGGCAATAGCCTGAGTAATTTTAGGAATCTCTTGGACCACCCTGACCAACAACTCAAAGGAAGGTTTCTCCTATCTGGCACTGTTTCTTGTTATGTAGCCTTTAGCTATACACATGAACTCATGTACAGATATTTTCTGTGTAATTTGTTACTAAATTGTTGAACTACTATGATTCCCTCTGGTTTTTTATACTAGCTAGGCATTATTTATCTCTCCTCTTTCTCTCCCTCCCTGTCTAACTCTTCTACCATGGCTTCCCCATTTAAAGTGTTCCCATTTTCCCCATTTCTCCCTTGATAATACCAGTCTCCTATGTTCCCACCCCTCTTGAGCTCCTTTCCCTTTATCCCCAAAGTTCCTTGTATAATTCTCCCTCCCCCCTTGCATTTTAGTTTTATGAGTTCTGATTGTCAATTTTTGGCCTTAATTCCTGGGTGAATGAATTCCTATGAATTCAGAAAGTTCTTTTCTGCACCTATATCTTGTAGGATACTACTCATGTTTTCTTCTAGCAGTTTCAGTGGTTCATGTTTCATATTGAGATCTCTGATCTATTTGGAGTTGATTTTTTGTGCAGGGTGATAGATAGTGATCTAATTTTATTCTTCGACATGTAGACATTTTATTTTCCTAGCACCGTTTATTGAAGATGCTGTCTTTTCCTGCAGTGTGTATTTTTGGCATCTCTGTCAAATATCATATGGTTGTAATTATGTGTGCTTAGGTTTGGATCTTCTATCTTGTTCCATTGATCTACTTGTTTGATTTTTGTTTTGTTTTGATTATTTGTTTCTTTTGCGGGGCAATGTCTCACTACATAGCCCTGACTATTCTGGAACTCGCAGAGATCCACTAACCTCTGACTCCTGAGTGCTGGGATTAAGGATGTACACCCCTGCATGCCCAACTTTTATCTGTTTTTGTGCCAGAGCCATGCTGCTTTTATTACTATAGCTCTGTAATATAGCTTGAAATCTGATATACTAATCCCACCAATGTTACTCTTTTTGCTCAGGATTGCTTTGACTATCGAGTTGTTTGTGCTTCTTTATGAACTTGAAGATGTTTTGTCTATTCCTGTGAAGAATGCCATGGAAATATTGAGAGTACATTGACTCTATAATAAATTGCTTTGGTAGAATGGTCATCTTCATAGTATTAATCAAAATGGGAGGTCTTTTCATCCGCTAGTGTCTTTCTCAATCTCCTTCTTCAGAGATTTAAAGTTTTCATTGTAGAAAACTTTCACCTCCTTGGTTAGGTTTATTCCTAGATTTTGTTCCCCCTTGAGGCTGTTGTGAATGGGAATGCTTCCATAATCCCTTTGTTTTTTAAAAAAATATTTTATTTATTATTTTTATTTTTTATGTGTATGAATGTATTGCCTGCATGTAGCTAAGTGCACCCATGTCGTGCAATGCCCACAAGGACAGAAGAGGCCATCGGAGCCCCTGGAACTGGAGTTATGGACAGTTGTTAGCTGCCATGTGGGTGCTGGGATTTGAACCCAGGTCTTCTGCAAGAACAACCAGTGTTCTTAGCCGCTGAGCCATCTCTCCAGCCCCCCATGATCTCTTTCTTAGCATGTTTGTTATTACTCTATCGAAAGGCTACTGATTTTTGTACATTGATTTTGTGTCTTGCCACTTTGCTGAAAATGTTGATAATTTTTTTTCTTTTTTTGGGTGGGTCTTTTGAGACAGGTCTCCCTGTAGTCACAGTTGGCCTGGATTTGCTATGAGAGACCAGACTGGCCCTGAACTCACAGAGATCCACCTGCCTCTGCCTCCCAAGTTCTGGGATTAAAGGCATGTGCCACCACGCCTAGCATCTTTTCTTGTTTTTGCATTTTATTTATTTATTATAATGTGTATGAGTGTTTTGCCTACATGTATGTAGGTGCACCTGTTTTGTGCAGTGCTGGCAGAGGCCAGAAGAGGGCATCAGATCCCCTGGAACTGGAGTTGCAGGCAGTTGTTAGCTGTTGTGTGGATTTTGGGAACCAAACCTGGGTCCTCTGCAAGAGCAGCCAGTGCTCTTAACCAGTGAATGATCTCTCCAGGACCTTGTTTTTATTTTCAAAAATCCAGCTCTTAAAGCAGAGGCAGGTGGATCTTTGTGAGTTTGAGTCCAGACTGGTCTACATAGTGAGTTCCAGGAAAGCTGGGGCTACAGGGAGACCCTGTCTCAAAAAGTCCAAAAAAAAAAAAAATCCAGCTCTTAGATTCATCGATTCTTT